GAGAGAGAGAGAGAGAGAGAGAGAGAGAGGGTTGGGAGGCCAAGGGTGATTTGGTTGGATAGGTTTTGTTTTAATTTAATTTTAGGGCTAACGACAAAAGACACCCTGCTGGTTTGGGGTGGTTCTCAATATGGACCCCAAGGTATCAATTTTATCAATTTACACCCTTACTTTTGCAACATCGTCCAATTTCATCCTTCCGTTAACTTGACCGCGTGGTCAATCGTTAAATGCTGACGTGTCTATTGTGGGACCCACCTACTAACCAACCAATTCCTAAAAAAATTATATAAAATGATAAAATAACATAAAGTTTTAAAAAACGTCGTCTTCCTTCCTAGGCCAACAAACACAGTGCTCCATGTTCACCCCATTTCGCTGAGCACCCTCCTCCATCTTCGAGCTCGACAATTTGCAAGGTTGCTGGTCTGAAGTGACGGCTTTGGGACCCTGGTTCTTTTGCACGCCAAATCGGGACTGGTTCTTACTGGAATTAGGTTTTGGTGTTCCAGTGCTGAGCCGACGCCAGAGAGAGAGAGAGGGATGAGGGCTGGGGTTGGTGCATTCAGATCTACCAATAATGGTAACAAACGTAGATGGAGAAGCAAGCAAACCTTTCTTGCATTCAGATTCAGGACCGGTGTCACCGCTTGCATTGAATCTTGAAAACCAGCCGAACCCTTTTCAAGTATCACAAAGTCTTCCATATATGTGGTTGTCCACCAAAGTAAAATCAACCCTTTCTTTCACAACCATCCAGAGTCTCTGTAGTATCACATACATGAAACCCAGAACCTAAATTGCAAGCTTTGGTCTTTTCGAATACTGAAAAGTGAGGAAATTTCATCCTGACATGAGGTTGACAAGGCAGTTACCAAATACAAACACAAAACTAATCTATCCAATCCAGAAGAGATTTGAGTTTGAAAAACTTGCATAAGCCATAGTATCATACTTGTTCAATTGATCACACCTACAAAATGAAAAGGAGATCACAAGTTTTAGACCACAAGCCAACACAAATTTATTCGTCATCTTCCCAGCCCTTCCCCACCAAAGCAGCCTCCCTCTCTTCGTCTTGCTCTCTGTCTCCGTCCCATTCTCCTCTCAGCTCCCCATCCTTATCAATATATACAAATTGTGCTTAAAGGATGGTATGGAGGGAGAGCCTAAGTGAGAGAGTTGTGCTTGGAGGCTCGTTTTCTCGCAGAACGATTAGCAGCCACGAAGAGCACAGAGCCCAATTGGAGAGCGCGATCGATGAGCTTGGTCTGATTGGCATCACAAGACCTAGACCTGAGAAGCCTCTCGAAGGAGAGGTTGATGGCGAAGGGGGAGGGGGGGGGGGTCGAGAAGATGGGTTGGGGGAGAAAGGGACGGAGTGCGGTTGTGCATCTGGGGTTTTTTTTGTTGTTGTTGGTATTTAGTTTTTGTTTAATTATATGTTATTTTATCATTTTATTTAATAAAAATTTGAGAATTAATTAGTGGGTGGGTCCCACAATAGACACGTCAGCATTTAATGATTGACCACACGGTCAACTTAATGGAAGGATGAAATTAGATGATGTTGCAAATGTAAGGGTGTAAATTGATAAAATTGATACCCTGGGGTCCATATTGAGAACCACCTCAAACCAGCAGGGTGTCTTTTGTCGTTAGCCCTTAATTTTATTAGTTTATGTAATTGATTTTCAGTTTTTTTTAAAGGCGACTGGTCAACCAATTCATGATGTGGGTCTTACAATATCCACGTCATCAATTAACGTTTGACTAGATGATCAACTTAACGGAGGGTGTAAACTGGTCACTTTTAATAACGTTGGGGTGTAAATTGATGAAACTGAAACCCCATGGCCCATATTGAAAATCACCCCAAACCTCGAGGGGGTAAACTGATGTTAATCCTAAAAATTTCATTAAAGGCTCATCTATGCTTTTATGAAAACAGCTTTGAAAAGCAACCCATAGCTTGCTTTTAATAGCTGTTGTCAAAAGGCCACTGCTTTTAAAATAATCAGAATATTTTATTTTTACCAAACACTTTAAACTGCTTAACTTTAAAGTGAACTAGGTTTTTGGCCAAAAAAAGCAATCCCAAAGAGCGCCTTTAGATTGTAAGGCCTAGTTTGGGATTGCCGTCACTTTTTAAAAAAAAGTTGCTTCTGCTGTGCTTTAAAAATAATTAGCTGTAAAGTAAAGCAGCTCCACGTTTGGTAAACAGTATTTTTAAAGTGCTGTTAGTATAAAAAGCAGTGTCAAAATCGTTTGGTAAATTTTAATATAAAATTGTTGTAACTGTGAATAATGACTAAAATAGACAGGATGTTAAAAGTGCTATGTACTAATCATGTGGTGATAGTGGTGGAGTTGGAGTGGAGGTGGTGGTGGTGATGAAGGTGGAGTTGGTTGTTGTGGTAGTAGTGGTGGTGAGGATGGCGGTTGTGGAGGTGGTGGTGGATGTGGAGATTTTGGAGGAGGTGGTGGTTGTGGTGGTGGTGGAGGTGGAGAGGTGGTGGTGGTGGAGGAGGTGAAGGAGGTTGTGGTTGTGGTGGTGCAAGTGGTGGAGTTGGATGTGGAAGTGGAGGTGGTGATGAAAGTGGAGTTGGTTGTTGTGGTAGTGGTGGTGGTGGGTATGGCGGTTGTGGAGGTGGTG